CCTGTTTTGAAATTAAACATTTAAAGGTGGGATTACAACTGGAACCAACAAATGCACTTTCACATTCTGACGTATCTACCATGATTCCCTAATGAGTCTTTGCTTTCCCTGTGTTTTGCTTCTAATGAGACCTTTGCCTAGAACTCTAGACTGGAACTTGGAATGACAGCCAGAAGTAGTGTCAATTTTTTTTTTTTACATCTAGCATTATGTCCCAATAAGTTATGGCTGTTACAAATATTGCAATGTTCCACTTTATTATTAAGTGATTACTATTAAGTTTAAAACATTTATTTCTTAAAATGCATTAAGAAACAATAAAATGGTTTAGTATTATGTAAATATTTTTCTGAGAGAAAGGAGACAGAAGTGAGAACTACAGAGAATAGCTATGTTAACAATCAAACTATTTTGCTTCCAGAAGAAGTTCCAAATCACCACCATACTGCAAATCTAAGGTACGATTATGAGTTGTTAAATATATGGTCTCACTTTTAACGTTATTTCTAGTATCTATAAGTAGTCCATTAACAGCACAGGTACCTTTCTTTTCAGCTCAGATGCAGTTGAATCTTACGAAAGTCTCTATCTTTGAAGATAATATTAATCCCTTTGATTCAGCAATTGCTAAAGAGCATGACTCGTTATTGGTATGTATATTGTTGGGAGGTATATTATACACTAAAAATTAGAAGCACTGGTGACTAAAAGGTGTTGAAAGCAGTACCAAAATTCACTGTATATACGGGTGCATTGCCTTTTTGGTATCCAATATTTTCAAATTCCTAGCCCAGTTTATATAACAAATTACATCTTGCTGTGAGTCCTGATGCCATTATTGTGTATGGGAATCTATTTCGGTTAGATTTAATATACATGTCTCACAATATATACGTAGCATCTGCCAATGCTAGCGGATGTCTCAGACTTTCTATAGAGCCCAGTTATTACAAGGAACAGAGAGAACATGTGAAACAGCCAGGAGGCTCCATCAAATTCCAAGCCACGGATTTCACTGTCGAACAATTATTTCTTAATGTTTAGGGACAATATCTCTCTCTCTTTTGGTGTTTCAATCCATCATTTTGCATCCTACTCTTTGGAACAGCAGAAAGCAAGCTTGCTCCATCTTCAATATGAGATCATTTCAAATATTTAAACATGGCTATCAGTTTTCTCATCCTGATTCTCTCTGGGTTGGTCCACAAAGACAAAATATACCAAAAACGATGCAAAAATAATGAGATATATCAGAGATATTTAAGAGTGTTATAGATTGATTGTCCCTCAGCTGTGACTCTGAAATACTCCAAAATCTAAAACTGTCCACATGTGTGATAGTGATGCTTTTGCTTTCTGATATTTCTATGTGAAATTCAAATACTTCAAAATTGTCAGTAAGCATGACTGAGCTAATGATATCTTTGTTTCATGCACAAAACTATTCAAAACGTGGTACATAAAATTACATTCTAGCTATGTGTGTAAGATGCATGTGAAAGATAAATTAATGTCATGTCCAGACTAGGGTGCCATCTCCAAGATATATCATTATGTATGAATGTGCATATATAGATACAGATAGAAGCATATATGTGCTTACATAACAAGATATCTTGGACATGGCACCCCGGTTTAAACATGAAATTCATTCTATTTGTGTGTGTGTATATAGTTTGATTGCTTGACAGTTATCATTAAAAAGATAAGCCTAACTAATACTATTCCCCGTACTATACCATACTACAAACTCTATTAACTTGATATTAATGTTGAAATACAGTAATTAAAAACAAGACAAGTTAAGATAAATGTAACATAACATTTACTGACTTTATTTTAATGTTTATGTAAAGAACTATATTTGCCGGTTTCTTGAGTTCTGGCTAAGTTACAAGTCTATTGTGTATATGTGTTTGTGTGTATCAGGCATCTATCAATCCCCATGGGTGCTGGTTAACTGAGAGTCTACTGTATATATATGGTTTGGGTCCAGGTTACCTAAAGGATCACTTTCTCCCATACAATCCGCCCCACACACTTCGGTCTTCTGGGGTTCGTCTGCTCCAACCAGCCAAAACTCGACTGGCAACCAGCACCCAGATAACCTTTTCTGACTGGCAAACAACTCATGGGGGTTAGACAAGAGGAAGTGAGAGAAATCTACCCCTCGCAAGGGAAATAATAAATAAATAAATAAATAAATAAATAAATAAATAAAACTTTATTTATATCCCACCCTATCTCCCTGTGGGGACTCAGGGCAGTTTTCCACAAGCAACGACAAGCATTCAATGCCGTAATAATAAAGACATTACCATGAAAATTAAACAATGACATTACAAAAATTAAATTTCCACACCTAAACATTGAAAAGATGAAAAATTAGGATTAAAGCTATCAACAATATAAAATGTAAAAGCCAACCTAGCCAGAATAGCACGCCATTTCCGTTACATAGTATCTGTACTCACAAGCTCTATACATCTTCCTCTTGTATGCCTGTGAGCATAACAAGCATTAAAAAATCATTCCTGAAGAGTAATCATGGGAAAAGGTGTCTCCACTGAAGCTTTCTCTCCAATCCTTGTTTCCACAACAAGCCACATTTGTCAAAATCCAGTGATCACATGGACAGAAAGTGAAGTGAAATCTTCTGAACAGGGGCATAGGCAGCAAAACAAACACCACAGGGGCATTAACCCTTCCCTATGCGATCCAAAGCTAAAGTGTGTGCGTGCGTGTGTTTTGGTAGAGTTACACTTAAAAATGCATCTGTTCCAACTTACATACAAATTCAAGTTAACAACAAATCTACAGAATCTATTCTGTTTGTAACTTGGGGATGGCCACATATGTAGTTACTTATTTTGTTTATTTATATCGCACTTTATTTCTCACAAGAGGCTGACAATCAAAAACATTTCAACTTAAAATATACAAATATACAATAACAAAACAGTATTATCATAATATATTACATATTATCAGCAGTATAATTAATATATTAGCATCATTATATTACAATATTATTACAATATATTATTATATTGTATTATTAGTATCATATTATATTACATTATATTATTATCAATATATGTCTATACAATGTTATATTATTAGCACAGCACAATATTAGTATTATATATTACTATATTGTACTATACCACTATACTGTGATATTATTAGTAATATTACATGTACTTTAAAATATACAATTATTATATTATATATTATATTGTACTGTATTATTATACCATTATATTAGATATAGTGGCATATATAATACACTACTAGTGTATTAAACTATTAGTATTGAATGCTTTATTGAACCTTTTAGTATATTATACTATTAGTATTGAACTAATAGTATTGTACTATGCTACTAGCATTGAAACTATGTCTCCCTCAGTATTATATAATATACTGTACTATATCATAAGGAGCCCCCAGTGGCACAGTGGGTTAAAGTGCTGAGCCGCTGAACTTGCTGACCGAATCCGGGAAGCAGCATGAGCTCCTGCAGTTAGCCTCAGCTTCTGCCAACCTAGCAGTTCGAAAACATGAAAATGTGAGTAGATAATTACGTACCGCCACGGCGGGAAGGGAATGGGGTCATGCACACATTTAAGTAAGAATATAAATGGACACAAAGTTGCATGCCAGCTATTTAATGCAGACTATAGTTTGACAGAAGCTCATCCCCCTGTTTGGCGGTTTGAATCCAGAGAGTGGTGTGAGCTCCCGCTGTTAGCCCCAGGTTCTGCCAACCTAGTAGTTCGCAAACATGTTAATGTGAAATCAATAGGTAACGGTGGTCCATGCAGTCATGCTGGCCACATGACCTTGGAGGTGTCTATGGACAATGCTGGCTCTTCAGCTTAGAAATGGAGATGAGCACCAACCCCAAGACTTGGACACGACTAGACTTAATGTCAGGGGAAAACCTTGACTTGGCCACRGTGGTCCACTCTCTGGTTACATCCCGTTTAGACTACTGCAATGCTCTCTACGTGGGGTTGCCTCTGAAGACTGCCCAGAAGCTTCAATTAGTCCAATGAGCGGCAGCCAGATTGCTAACAGGAACAGGGTACACAGAGCATAYGAGTCCCCTGTTACGCCAGCTTCACCGGCTGCCAATTAGCTTCCGAGCACAATTCAAAGTGCTGGTCTTGACCTATAAAGCCCTAAACGACTCTGGCCCAGTTTACCTGTCTGAACGGATTCTCCCCTTTGAACCATCAATGTTACTAAGATCTTCCGGAGGGGCCCTGCTCTCGATYCCACCACCTTCTCAATCGCGTCTGGTGGGAACGAGGGACAGGGCCTTCTCGGTGGTGGCCCCTTGGCATTGGAATTCCTTCCCACCAGAGATTAGATTTGCTCCTTCCCTCCTGACCTTTAGAAAGCTAATAAAAACCTGGCTTTGGAATATGACATTCGATGATTGAGTCAATAACCCTTCTCCACAAGGAAGGATGGCGATGAATTGGGACTGTATTTGACAACTCGGCTTGTGTAATACGATGATGTTTTTATTGTATTTTATATTTTAACGTATAATGATGATGCAGTGTGCTGTTTGTTATATTACTGTATATGAACACATGTTGTGAACCGGCCTGAGTCCCTCCTCGGAGGGGAGAAGACCGGGATATAAAACTTCTAAATAAATAAATGTACCTACCTACCTTTACCTACTATATCATAAGTTGTAGTATATATAATAATATATTATACTGCAACATTATTAGTATTATATACAATATATTAGTATTATGACATTACAATGTTATTACATTTACATATAAGCAATGATTTGGGAATACCTGTATTTACATACACACACACACACACCAACGTAAGTGAATTTCGTATCTAGACTGGCTTGCCCTCTCCAGATACCTCAGGTCTGTCTCTCTGTCTCTTTGGCATCCAGCCTAAGCATGAAATTCATGTTCCATGAGGGCAGAAGGGAAAGCAGGGGGGGGAAGACTCACCAACAGCGGGAGACGAGGCCCCAGCGCCTCCTGCGACGCTGATGCTGCTGCTGGTGGTGGTGGCGGCGGCGCTTGCTCCATCCCCCGGCCGCCGCCGCCGCCACCAAGTCCTCTCGCCTCCGTCGCCGCCTTCGCCTCCCGGCCGAGGCAACGAACGCCTCGTTCTCGCGCGAGCAGGGCAGCTCGCGGCCCACGCATAGGCATACACACGCACCAACGCTCGCTCTGACGTCACGCTCTGACGAGGGGGTGGAGACAGGAGGCCTCCGAGCCGTTAGCCCCACCCACTGACCCTCCGTCGCGAGCCGGGAGGAGTAGGCGGAGCGTGGAGGGACGGAGGGCGGGGCCGACGTGGAGGGAGGGTTACATGTTAATGTTTCGCTCGATCCCCGCCTCCTTCTCCTCCTCCTCCTCCCGCTTGAGGCTTCTTGCAAAAGGGAAAGAAAGCAAGCAACTTCTTCCTGTTGCCAGGCGCTTCTACACTAAGAGAGCACTCCCGGGCATACTTCGGCCAGCTGGTTTCTGCCCATCTTCTAAAACCAGGAGAACACTCAGGAAGCAGGGGAATTCCAGACAGGAAACAATCAGGGCCAGCTAACACCTCCCAACAAAGGATTCAAACTACAAGAGAGGAGATTCCATCTGAACACGAGGAAGAACTTCCTGACTGTGAGAGCCGTTCAGCAGTGGAACTCTCTGCCCCGGAGTGTGGTGGAGGCTCCTTCTTTGGAAGCTTTTAAGCAGAGGCTGGATGGCCATCTGTCAGGGGTGATTTGAATGCAATATTCCTGCTTCTTGGCAGAATGGGGTTGGACTGGATGGCCCATGAGGTCTCTTCCAACTCTTTGATTCTATGATTCTATGATTCCCTCAGGCTGCAACCAGCCATGCTTTGAAGCTGCAAGGCTATTCAGTGCTAATCAAGCTGGCCAATTGCAACGTTCACAGTTGCCTCAAGCAGACAAGAGTTCTTTCTTCCACTCTGGACATTCCATCTATATAAATAAAAATGTAATGTCCGTTTGTGGGATTAAGAGAACTCAAAAACCACTGGATGAATTGACACCAAATTTGGACACAAGACACCTAACAACCCAACGTATGTCCTTCGATCAAAAAAATTGATGTCATTTGGGAGTTGTAGTTGCTGGGATGTATAGTTCACCTACAATCAAAGAGCATTCTGAACCCCACCAAGGATGGAATTGAACCAAACTTGGCACACAGTTCTCCAATGACCAACAGAAAATATTGGAAGGGTTTGGTGGGCAGTGTCCTTTGGTTTTGGAGTTGTACTTCACCTCCATCCAGAGATCACTGTGGACTCAAACAATGATGGATCTGGACTAAACTCTACACAAATACTCAATATGCCCAAATGTGAACACTGGTGGAGTTTGAGGAAAATAGAATCTTGATATTTGGGAGTGGTACTTGCTGGGATTTATAGTTCACCTACAATCACAAAGCATTGTGAACCCCACCAACGAGAGAATTGGGCCAAACCTCCCACACAGAACCCCCCATGTGGGCCACAGCAACACGTGGCAGGGAATGGCTAGTATAAAAAAAATATGTAATTTTGGTTTGTGGGATTAAACCACTGGACGAATTCACACCAAATTTGGACACAATACACCTATCAGGCCAACAAGTGACCTGTTGTTTATATATAAACCGAAATATATAAACACAAATATATACACACAAACACATAAACACAGACTGGGCCACAGCAACATGTAGTGGAGCAGCTAGTCTATATAAATAAAAATGTAATGTTAGTTTGTGGGATTAACATAACTCAAAAACCACTGGACTAATTGACACCAAATTTGGACACAATACACCTACCAGGCCAATGAGTGACCATCACTCATAAAAACTCTGAAAAACACAACAGAAGAGATTAAAATCCAAATAATTAAAAATACATTACAATGCATGCATAAAATCACACACACACATATGCAAACACACAGATATACACATATACACAAATATACACACACACACACAAAACACATATACACAGACTGGGCCACAGCAATGCGTGGCATAGGACGGCTAGTAGATATATAAACCCCTCTTGCCCAGTTTTCAACAGACCTCACAACCTTTGAACCTTGTGAATCCTTGCTGGCTGTTGTACACTAATGTGGATGCTTTGTTTAGATTTATGTTATTACAGAATTTTGTCTGACTGTGTAGTTTAATTTATCGATGTTAGGTTTGATTTACTGATGTTAGGCTTTAATTTGATGTTAGATTTTAATGTTACTTTCATATATGGGGTTTTTCTGAAATTGTATATCATTATATCCTATCCCATCTCCCCGTGGGGACACATCTCCCTGTGGGAATTATATTATTATTATTATTATTATTATTATTATTATTGTATTATATTGTGCTATATCATTGTATCACAATACATATAATATACCACTAGTATATTATACTATTAGTATTATATAATATATAATATATTGTACTATATCATAGATTGTAGTATATATATACAACATTTACATTATAATACAGTATAAAATAAGCCTAACTAATGCTATATACCCCATACTAAATCACACCACAAACATGGTATTAACTTGATACCAAAATTGAAATACAGTAATTAAAAGCAAATTACAGTATTTAAAAGCAAATTAAGAACTATAAAGACAAACCTAGGCCCTTTCTACACTGCCATATAAAATCCAGATTATTTGCTTTGAACTGGATTAAATGGCAGTGTGGACTCATATAACTGAGTTCAAATCTGATAATCTGGATTATCTGCTTTGATAATACCTGGAGTATATAGCAGTGTAGAAGGGGCCTGAGAGTCTATTGTAAATATATACCACATACACACTGTCTACGAAAAGACCTTAATGTAGCTGAAATACAGCATGAAAGACTCTTTGGCTGAGCTTGTGATCTTTATCCAATGCGACTGGTTTGGTGTATTTTTAGAAGGCTGCACCCCTTTGAGGGGAAGCCAGTTTGATCCCGGGGAAGAGTGCCCTTCGTCTATTTGTCTCATACAATTAGTGTTATCGGTTGTAGGAAAAGATGATTTTGCCATTTCAGAGTTAAAGCCATCCCTTCAATCTAGTTTATCCCTTTATCGATGTAAATCATAGGCCTGCATGCATTTCTTGAACTGATAGACAAGGAGAGCCACAAAAGCTGAATCTTCAGACCTTGCTTGATCTGAAGGAACTGCTTCTCAAAATTGCTGTCATTTTAAAAAATGTACACAACACCCTCCCGAGTTCCAGGTCAATCCAGCCCAGCATGCTGTTTCTTTGAATGGCCAACCAAGTCTTTTGGGATATCCCATAAGAGGGGTCCTGTTTTCTCGGACTGCACAAAGGCCCTGCCAAGAATTTTGCGTATGCTGATGTGATGTCAGAGATGTATGGATTGGCCCCATGAGTTAGGACCAACCCATACATGTGTTTTCATAAAAGAGAATGGACAAAGGATAATGGTTGGCCCCAAGATATGGAGAAGGGAGCATTTTCATGAAAGACAATAACTGTGAGTTGAGATAGAGAACCCTTCTATACTACCATATACAATCCAGATTATCTGCTTTGAACTGGATTATATGGCAGTGTAGGCTAGTATAATCCAGTTCAAAGCAGATAATAGGGATTATCTGCTTTGATAACCTGGATTATATGGCAGTGTGACAGGGGCCGGAGAGGAGCTGTTCTGTGTTTCCAGAGATGAGAATTGGGCCCTTGTCACTTTTCAGTTTGGTGACAAAGTTGTTCCCTCCCATTTGCAATTTTGTCTTTTGCGGATTTGATTATTTTGGGATTTGTTCTGTGTAGGGATCTTCCACACAGCCCTATATCTCAGAATATCAAGGCAGAAACTCCCACAATAGCTGCTTTGAACTGAGTAATCTGAGTCCCCACTGCCATACCAAATGTCAGCGTGCTGTAAGAAGCAAAGACCACCAGTACTGAAGCGATGCTCCTCTGCCATCAACTCTGCTGGACTGGCCACGTTGTCCGAATGCCTGATCCTCTCTCCCTGGGAAGCCCTGGCCCTTGAGTGCTCCAGCTGGAGGTCAGCTGTGACCAGCAGTGCTTCAGAATTCGAAGAGGCACGAATGGAGGGTGAAAGGGAGAAACGTGCCAAGAGGAAGGTGTGTCAAGCCAACCCTGTCCGGGACCGCCTTCCGCCTGGAAACTGATGCCCTCGCTGCAGGAGGACATGTGGATCAAGAATAGAGCTCCACAACTACCTACAGGCCCACCGCCAAGACACCACATCTGGAAAACCATCATCCTTGAGCTACGAGCGATCACCTAAGGAAGTAAGGCGCTATTACATTTAAATGTGGTTTACATTTGTGAACTGTCTAAAACTTTGTGATGGTGTCACCTATCTTAATTTTTTTCCAGAGTCCTCACATATTTATCAGTGTTAAGATAACATGCCGACATAGAATAAGGCATGAGCAAGCACTCATTTCTGCAAGAATTAAATTTATACTTTTTTACTGGCAAGGGAACACGAAACCTTATGACTCGACTGAAAGTTGTTATTTGTTTTTGTGGAGTCTTTTATTGTTTTTACTGAAAGCGTATAATTGACATCAAGTTAAGAACTCAAGAAGACACCCAACTGATTTCCTTCTACCAAAGGAAAACACTGCTGCGAAAGAATGGCTTCTGACACAGAAGTTGTACTAATGGGCCAGTTCAATTGTAGCCTAGCATAGATTTAAATGTCATAACCGCAGTGTGTTCTGCTATACAATAACTTTGCCAGGTACAGAGGAACAGGGCAGCCTACTAATCCAGGCAGGCAGTCCCAGGCACACAATATAGCTGCCAGTAGCTGCCTCCATTGGTGGTTCAATCTTAATTATATAGTTTTTCTCATTGAACAGGCTTATTCTTTGCAGCTAACTAATTAGCTCTCTATAATAACGAGAATGTATTTTCTAAAGGTTCAATTCGTGAAAACACAGCTGTCTTCGTTCCTCTAAAATGTTCTGTTCTGGCTCCACAAATAGAAGAAAGGAAAATTTCTGGTCGCTTATGGAATTAATCGTACTCAACTTTAAGCCAAAGTTGTAAAGAAATAAGTATAACCTTAATGAGAACATCTCTCTGTTCAACAATTTACTTCGTGCTTATGCATTATTAGTTGCAGTAGAAGAGCTTGTTAACTATAGTTTCATGGCATTTGAACTCCCACTGCAAAAT